GTGATTGTGATGGTGCTGGTGCTGATGCTGATGCTAGTGCTGATGCTGATGATGATGCTGATGATGCTGATGATGCTGATGATGTTGTTAGTGGTGGCGAAGGCGGTGGTGATGGTTATGATGGTGGTGATTCTAATGGTGACAGGGGCGCTTGAGGAGGAGGAGGAGAAGGGCAGGAGGAGGAGCAGGAGAAGGAGGAGGAAGAAGAAGGCCGTCACACGTGTCTCCTCTCAGCTTCATTCTGTCAGGAGCTATCATGGAACTCGTTTGGGCCGCCTTGGGGTGCCTTGGCCTCTTGTAAGGCAGTCTTGGGGGTTCCCTGGGGGCCGCCTTGGGCCATCTTGGGGCCCTCTTACGCCGTCTTGGGGCTCTCTTGGGCCGTCGTGGGACCGTTTTGGTGCGGCAGTTGTCGAAGGCCTTCCAAGGCCATCTGGGTCCCATGGTAGGCCCTCGTGGGTCGTCTTGGCTGTTTGGGATGCCTCTTTGGCCATCGTGGGGTCCTCTTGTGGCATCTTGGGGCCCTCTTGGGGGCCTCTCGGGTCGTCTTGTGGCCATCGTGGAGTCCTCTTGGGCCGTCTTGAGCTGACGGAAGCTCGAACAGGCGAGAATGCGATCATCGTTTAAGACCAAAAGGACATCAATGACTTGGGCGTCTTCGGATCCTGGCGGAGGTCCTCTTGTGGCCTTTTTGTCGGCTCCCTTGGAGGCATCTTGGGCCCCCCAGAGGCCATACTCGGCCGCCGTGGGACCATCTTGGGCCGCCCTCGGGGCATCTTGGGCCACGTTGGTGTCCTTGGCCCTGGGTTGCCTGCACGAGCCTTCTTGGAAGTTCGGGACGCGCATCCGTCTTTTTGCAGCGAGGGATGGTGGCCTCGGGAGCGCAGCCCGTTGCTTCTTGCCAGGCGTCGCGGCCTCGGGAGGGAGGGCGGTGCCTGCGGCTGGGTGCTAGTAGAGCTCCTCCTCCTCCTCCTCCTCCTCCTCTTCCTCCTCCTCCTCCTCCTCCTCCTCCTCCTCCTCCTCCTCCTCCCCCTCCTCCACCCCCTCCTCCACCCCCTCCTCCTGCTCCACCTCCTCTGCTCCTCCGCCTCCTCATCCTCGCTCCTCCTCCTCCTCCTCCTCCACCTCCACCCCCCTCCTCCTCCTGCTCCTCCTCCTCCTCCTCCGCCTCCTCCTCCTCCTCCTCCCCCCTCACTCCTGTCCCTCCTCCCCCTCCTCCTCTCCTCCTCATCCCCCGCCTCCGCCTCCTCATCCTCCGCTTAGGAGGGGGGGGGGGGGGGGGGGGGGGGGGGGGGTGGTACCCCCCCCCCCCCCCCCCCCCCCCCCCCCCCCCCCCCCAAGGGGGGGGGGGGGGGGGTCCGCCCTCCTCCTCCTCCTCCTCCTCCTCCTCCTCCTCCTCCTCCTCCTAGAATGCAGAAGCACGACCAGACAGCCAGACAGCTTTTGGCATCCTGCCGCGTCTCGGCGTGCCAAGGGGGGGCACCGTGGCGGATTCGCTGCTGGAGGCCACCAGCGAGGACGTCGTCTTCTGGCGGCTGCGGCAGCACCTGTCTGCGCAGCCTTCGCGCCCGGCCCGCCCGCCGCCCGCGAGGCCTGCCGTGCTGCCTCTCGCGAGGCCCGTTCCTCCTCTTGCTCCGACTGCTCCGACTGCTCCTGCTCCTGCTCCTGCTCCTGCTGCTCCTCCTCCTCCTCCTCCCCCTCCTCCCCCTCCTCCTCCTCCTCCTCCTCCACCTCCTCCTCCTCCTCCTCCTCCTCCTCCTCCTCCTCCTCCTCCTCCCCCTCCTCCTCGCGCCTCATCCGTCCATCCTCCCATAAGTAGCACCTCCTCGTCGCACCACCAGGCGTGTCGGTAGGGCGGTCCAGGCGTTTCGTCAACTCCCTCTGATCCTGAAGCTTGTGCCTCCAAGCAGATACGCGGATGGGGGATGGGTCAGCTTCGAGATGCGGTTCTCGCAACAGCACCACGCACGTACGTTTTTTGAGTCAACCGCGCAGGCACAACACGGATGTGTGTCTGTTTTCTTTCAAAAGGTTGATCGCGCTCTAGCGCCGCGCACATACGCACTGCACGCTTCCAGCAGTTACGCGGATGGAGGGCGGCCTATCTTCAGAATGCGGCCCTCGCTTTAGCCATCATTCGCCAAGCAGTGCCTGCACAGAAGGGGATCATAGCGGATCTTGAAGGGTCTGGCGAAAGTGGGCGGCCGATTTCGGCAGGCCGCCAGGTTCCCGAGGTCCCAGTACAGTCGGGGCCCTGAAGAAGGAACCCTTTTCGTTGGGGAGGGGCTCTGTGTTCATTAATTGTTTCGCAGCTTGCCTTGGATTTTCCTTAGGTTTTCGATGCGAAATCGAAGTTCAACTTATGGAAAATAGGGGCCTCGTTCCTTATTAATCGCTTCGCTCATTCCGCCGGCCCATATTGTCGCACCGTGGTGGGCTAGCCGAGTTTTGGGGGCCGTTTTGGGGCCTCTTGGGGCCTCTTTTGGGCCTCTTGGGCGCCTCTTGGGGCGTCTTGGGGGCCTCTTGGGGGCCTCTTGGGGCCTTTTTGGGGCCTCCTGGGCGCCTTCTGGGGCGGAGGGCTCGATTTTTCAGTTCTCGGTTCCCCTCTTGAGCCCCTCTTGGGCCCGTCTTGGGGCCTCTTGGTCCGTCTTGGGCGGCACTTGGGCCGTCTTGGGGGCCCTCCTGGGCCGTTCCGGGGCCGTCTTGGGAGCCTCGTGGGCCGTCTTGGAGCGGTCTTGGGGGCCTCTTGGGCCGTCTTGGAGCGTCCGGAAGCCGAAAAAGCCAGAACGCAAAAAACATCGAAAAATTATCCTGGCGAAAGACCCAACCATAAGCAATTGTTGGTAACGCGTTGTGGGTGCCGCTTTCGGTGGGGCTCCATATGGGGCCACGAAGCGCTGCCTTGGATGGGGGAACCGCATGCGGACTGCGCCACCGGGGCGGGCCTTCGGTGGAGCTCCCTATGGGGCTACGAAACGCTGCCCTGGGTGGGGGAACCGCATGCGAACTGCGCCACTGGGGCCTTCGGTGGAGCTCCCTATGGTGCACGAAACGCTGCCCTGGGTGGGGGAAGCGCATGCGAACTGCGCCACGGGGGCTTTCGGTGGAGCTCCCCATGGGGCCACGAAGCGCTGCCCTGGGTGGGGGAACCGCATGCGAGAGCAGCCACTGGGGCCTCCGGTGGAGCTCCCTATGGGGCCACGAAACGCTGCCCTGGGTGGGGGAACCGCATGCGAACACCCCCACTGGGGCCTTCGGTGGAGCTCCCTATGGGGCCACGAAACGCTGCCCTGGGTGGGGGAACCGCATGCGAACACCCCCACTGGGGCCTTCGGTGGAGCTCCCTATGGGGCCACGAAACGCTGCCCTGGGTGGGGGAACCGCATGCGAACACCCCCACTGGGGCCTTCGGTGGAGCTCCCTATGGGGCCACGAAACGCTGCCCTGGGTGGGGGAACCGCATGCGAACACCCCCACTGGGGCCTTCGGTGGAGCTCCCTATGGGGCTACGAAACGCTGCCCTGGGTGGGGGAACCGCATGCGAACACCCCCACTGGGGCCTTCGGTGGAGCTCCCTATGGGGCCACGAAACGCTGCCCTGGGTGGGGGAACCGCATGCGAACACCCCCACTGGGGCCTTCGGTGGAGCTCCCTATGGGGCCACGAAACGCTGCCCTGGGTGGGGGAACCGCATGCGAACACCCCCACTGGGGCCTTCGGTGGAGCTCCCTATGGGGCTACGAAACGCTGCCCTGGGTGGGGGAACCGCATGCGAACACCCCCACTGGGGCCTTCGGTGGAGCTCCCTATGGGGCCACGAAACGCTGCCCTGGGTGGGGGAACCGCATGCGAACACCCCCACTGGGGCCTTCGGTGGAGCTCCCTATGGGGCCACGAAGCGCTGCCCTGGGTGGGGGAACCGCATGCGAACACCCCCACTGGGGCCTTCGGTGGAGCTCCCTATGGGGCCACGAAACGCTGCCCTGGGTGGGGGAACCGCATGCGAACACCCCCACTGGGGCCTTCGGTGGAGCTCCCTATGGGGCTACGAAACGCTGCCCTGGGTGGGGGAACCGCATGCGAACACCCCCACTGGGGCCTTCGGTGGAGCTCCCTATGGGGCCACGAAACGCTGCCCTGGGTGGGGGAACCGCATGCGAACACCCCCACTGGGGCCTTCGGTGGAGCTCCCTATGGGGCTACGAAACGCTGCCCTGGGTGGGGGAACCGCATGCGAACACCCCCACTGGGGCCTTCGGTGGAGCTCCCTATGGGGCCACGAAACGCTGCCCTGGGTGGGGGAACCGCATGCGAACACCCCCACTGGGGCCTTCGGTGGAGCTCCCTATGGGGCTACGAAACGCTGCCCTGGGTGGGTGAAACGCAGGGAAGAGGGGGAGGAGGGAGGAGGAGGGGGAGGAGGAGGAGGAGAGGACGCGGGCACCGTCTCTTCAAAACGAGGACCCAACACCACAGGATGGTTGGGAAAAACAATGAAAATCAACGATTTTGGCCTCTTGGGGCCCTCTTCGGAGGCCTCTTGGAAGGCCCTTGGGGCGTCTTGGAGGCCTCTTGGGCTGTCTTGGGGCCCTGTTGGGCGTCTTCGGGCGATCTTTGGCCGTCTCGGGGCCCTCTTGGACCGTCTTGGAGGCTTCTTGGGGACCTCTTGGCCCGTCCTGGGGCCCTGTAACAGGGCTCCGGCATCTCTGGCCCGACCTTGCCGGGACCTTGCCGGGGACTTGCCGGGGACTTGCCGGGACCTTGCCGGGGTACTTTTCGTCCGGGGACCCCCAGGGGCCGCCCCGCGCGCGCGAACTAGAAATACTGTTAACCAGGTACCGGAGATCTTAGCACGCCCTGGCCCGTTGGGCCGGCGAACTTAGGGTTCCTTAGGTCAACGCCTCGACTGTCACGGGTTCCCAGGCTCCCGGTTCCGGGTTTTCGGTTCCTGGGTTCCTGGTTCTGCGTTCCCGATCGCAGGGTTCCTGGGTTCCCGGTTCCGGGTTCGATCGGTCGATGGAGGAAGGTCGATCTCAGTATCGATCCATTTGTCGATCTCACTACCGATCGCACTATGGAATTCACTGTCGATCGATCTCATGGCTCAAGCCATTTGTAGCTCAAGGGAGAGGCCCGAGAGGAGCGAGCGGCCGCCGAGCCGCGGCCGCGCAGAGGCCGAGCTGGCACAGGTCCCCGCATGCGCGCGGTGCAGGCGGCCAAGGAGGAGGCGGAGGCAGCAGGCGCAGCGCCCGACCCGCCATTCACGCGGGAGGAGTTCGACAAGCTCCTGGCCGAGAACAAGACGCTGCGGGCCGAGAATGCCAAGCTGAAGGAGTCCAAGACGGTCGATGGCGGCAAGGGTGTGCCCGCCGTGGGGTTAGGCGACGAGCTCCAAGCATTGCCCACGGAAAAGTACGAGGGCTTTTTTGATCCTGGCGACAAGGGCCGAGTATCTTCGGAACCGTATATCGGTGACGATGGCAAGCAGAGGTTCAAGGTCACGTGGTACCGCACTGGCAAGACTTCGGTCCGTGTCGCAAGTACTTGGCCGAAGGGTTTCAAGATAATTGGGAAGGCGGGCCAGCCGGCTTTCGGCGACGAGCTAATGGTGCTGCCGCTGGAGAAGTTTGAGGGCTACTTTGAGCCCGGCGACAAGGGTCGGGTCTCCTCCGAGCCTTTCGTTGACGAGGCGGACGGCAAGATCAGATTCAAGGTCACGTGGTACCGAACCGGCAAGACCTCGCAGAGGGTGGCAGACGGATGGATGTCTAGCTTCCGGCTGGTTGGCAAGGCGCGCCAGCCTGAGAAGGGCGACGAGCTGCAGGCCCTGCCCCTCGAGAAGTTCGATGGCTTCTTCGAGCCTGGAGACAAGGGTAAGGTCTCTTCCGATCACTTCATTGACGCGAAAGACGGCAAGCTCAAGTTCAAGGTCACGTGGTACCGCACCGGCAAGACCTCGACCCGTGTTGCGGAGGGCTGGATGAGATCCTTCAGGTTTGCCGATGAGAGTGATACGGAGCACGTCAACGCCGAGAACAAGAAACACATGGAGGACGCCGTAAAGGACGTCACGAATCAGCCGGCCGGCAAGCCGATCGAGCTCATCAGCGGTCAGCCCAAGGCGGCGGCCATGGGGCTGTACCACTTTATGAGGGTCAGCGATCCTTTCGCGGAGGATAGCGCGAACAAGGTCGAGAAGGAGATCACGCAATTCGTGCAGAAGCTTAGGGAGTACGCGATGATATTGGGCTACCACAACGACGTGCCTGAGCAGCGAGAGCACATTGAGCACATCTACGGGAAGGAAAGCGTCGCCGAGGCCAAGGATGAGATCGACTACTTCAGGAAGGTGGCGCGTCTCCCCGACGACTCGACCGCTTTGGCCGTCGCGTCGCGCGTTGAGGAAGAGACCCTCGGGAATATCAAGTACATCTTATACGAGAAGGCCAGTGAGGTGTTCGTTGCGGGCCCAGACGGCATACGCGACAAGGGCCGTGGCCCAGTAGGAATCCAGGATTTCATGAAGAACAAGACTGTTGCAGACGCAGAGCTGACATTGGCCCATGTCGTTGCGCTGCGGTTCTACACGACACCAGGGTACAAGTATCTGAACTCACCGTTTCGGAACCAGGACCGGTACTATCACAAAAACAAGCAGCACCCCATGCCCATCACAATGGCGTACATCTCGGAGGGCATCAAGAAGCTGCGCTCCGCCTACGCGGTCAAGGTCGAGGAGGGCCAGGCAAGCACGCACATGGTTCTCTGGCGGGGCCTCAGGAACATGTACATGCCGGACGACTTCCTCCTGAACCGGAAGGGCGGTACCGAGCTGGCGCCCATGTCCACCACGACCGATATTCAGGTGGCGGCGCGCTACGCGTGCAGCGGCGAGTCGGTCCTGCTGAAGATCTCCCTGGACAACTTCATGCAGTACGGGGCGGAGCTCGGCTGGCTCTCGGCCTTCCCGGGCGAGGTGGAGGTGCTCTACCCGCCCCTGACCTACTTGCAGCCCACGGGCAAGCCGCCCCAGGTGGTGGAGCTGAGCACCGGCGTCAAGTTCACTGTGCACGAGGTAACGCCAACCATCCCATGAGTGCCAGCGTGTGTGCTCGTGAGTGTTCCGGGCTGTTGTGCGGCTCGCTCCAACATGTGCCTCTAGTGATGCATACGTGCATGTATTTCAGATGCGTCCTGTTTACACCCAACTTCGTGACGCTTCGCAGTGCAGTGATCATTGCATTCCCGAGCGGAGGCAGGTTTTCTGCATGACCGAGTCGAGGAGCGATGGGGCGCTCAGGCACGGCAGCTTGCGCTAGGGGCGTGCATAACAGCCCCGTGCCCGCAGAGCCTCGATCATTGGCGCAGGGCAAGCGCATCGGACTTTGCCGATCGCACGCGTTTTACCAATCTGTTACGTTTCATTTCTGGCCCCCCTCGGCGTGAAGACCATGCCAGGGCGTCGTGCCAGCAGTACGTGTCTCACGGCTTGTTCTGTGGTACTGTTTTGATGCTCCTGGCAGTTGGGGCTTGTTTGCACCGCAGCGCCAGGCACGTCACCAGGATCTGATGATCCCTGCTCACCAAGGAATCCGATTCGAGTTTGGAATAGTTTTGTCTGCTCGATCTGTTTTCCAATGGACTTGCGCCTTCTGACCAAACTGTACGCCGTCAGGCTTAAGCATGCCAGCGACACAGTTTGTGCCTCACGCAAGAAAAAAAAACTGTCGATCGATCTCACGATCGTGCTCCTATTCACACCAAATTTTCAAACCATCCGCTGATTGAGGCTTTCTCGGGAGTAATGATTCTAAAACTTAGACACCTCAAGCAGCTACACGAGTGGGGAGCGGTGCCTTCTCAAACTGAGGTTGTCGCCTGTGACCTGCTCGAGTAAATGCCTTGACCGTGAAGCCTGACGCTTCCAACAGCTGCACAGGTGGAGGGCGGTCTGTCAGACTGTGGCTATAGTTACGCCGAAGGTGTACGCTATAGCCAGTCGCGCTGCCGTGCGACTCCGCCACCGCGCTCCGGCGGGCTTCTTGGGTGGAGGGGGTGGGCGGGGGGGCCCCCCCACGGAGGGGCATGGTCCCAGGGCTCCCTTCTGAGCCCGTTCGGCGTCTGAGCCCGCTGAGCCGCCGAGTGAGCGGCCGAACGGGCTCAGACGCCAGGCGGGCTCAGAAGGGACCCCTGGGGCACCAGAGTTTGAGGTGTTCGTAGTTTGGCTTGCTCGGGAGGCAAATTGAGATTAGGGGCGTAGTCAGGCAAGTGAGCGTGTGTTGGGCTCGGTGCGTCGAGGGGGGGCACCCCACAGCTACACAGACGGAGGGCGACCGGCTCCCAAGATCTGGCCCTCGCGCGCAGCGTCGTCACGTGTTCTGAGCCTATAATCAAGTCGGGCCTTTCCCTCTACCGGAGGAATATGCAAAAATAACCGCATGCCGATGATAATAAAGGGACCCCCCCCCTTCAGTGTTTAGAGTTGATTATCGTCGCCCTATACAAAATTCAAATTGGGCGGCGAGCGCTGAGGCCGAACTTCATTATCACCTCGAAACGCTATGTTGAGATAGCAACATCAAGCGATGTTGATATAGCAACATCAAGCGAAGCGATCACACTTTTTCAGGATGTGTCAAGCGAAACCAATAATTTTGGGAGGCAGACTCAAACGAAACGAGCAATGTTCTTATTATTATTATACTTTCCTCTTCTTCTTTTATATTTCTATATGTCCTCACGCTCGCCTGAACTTTTTTATCCCTGGGGTTGATTACCCATGGAAAATGAAGCACATGAGCTACCCTACACGAGCACTTACAAAAATCAATGTTCATAAAGCGTTTGTAAATTAAAATTGATAGATTTGGAACTTTGGATTTTTCCTTTCTTCGTCCTCTTCTTATTCTCCTCTTCTTCTTCTTTCTTATTATTCTTCTACTGTATTCTTCTTCTTTTATATTTCTCTCTGTCCCCACGCTCGCCTGAACTTTTTTATCTCTGGGGTTGATTATCCATGGAAATTGAGGCACATGAGCTACCCTACACGAGCACTTACAAAAAACAATTTCATGAGAGATAAGCCATTGTTGAGGATATTTCTATGAAAACTAAACGCCAAGGATGTCTCAAAACGTGCTCGGCTTGGTCTCCTCTTGATCATCTCTTACTTCGAGATTATGCTGAGGTCTGCTGGGCTACTTTTACTATCTCTCCCTGAACCCCGAACTTTATTATCCCCTAGTGTTTATTCTCACGGGCATGAGGTTAGTTAAAAGATAGTTTGGGGACTCTTTTTGAGTATTTTTGGGCATCTTTTGAGTATGGTTTGAATATTTTTCTCATAGAAAATCCCCCTGTAGGGGGACAGGCCCGCCTTAATCCTAAGATCTGGCCCTCGCGCGCAGCGTCGTCACGTGTTCTGAGCCCATAATTCAGCATGTCCAGCAGCTGCACTGGTGGAGAGCGGCTCGTTTCCACACTCACGTTGTCGTTCCAGCGCGGCGTACACGTTTCTCAAAGCGCCCACCAGCTGCACGGATGTGAACGGAGGGCGCCTCTCTCATGCTCGTTGCGCCTGGCGACGTTATCCAGTCGGGTCTTGAAATGATCTCTGTGATGCGTGACTCAAAATGCACGTGGCTCTCGCTATGCAGACCCACGGGGCCATCACCCTTTCTTGCGATCGTTGGCAGCATCGGAACCCAGTGCTTGCACAGACTTACGAGGTGGGGACTTGGGGCGGCAGGGCGGGTTGCGGGACCATCGGCGGCGCATGTTGGTTTTCTCTCATCGTCATCCTCCTCATCCTCCTCCTCATCCTCCTCATCCTCGTCCTCCTCATCCTCCTCATCCTCCTCCTCATGTTGGTTTTCTCTCCTCCTCATCCTCCTCATCAGCCTCAGTCGATCTGGTCATCCTCCTCATCCTCTGATCGTCTCTCGGTCGACTGTCGCCGGAGCCAGCGGGGACGTGCGATGAGCGCCCCAGTCTCAGCTGGCACCGGCCCGATAGGAACGATTGGCGCGGCCTCTTGGAACAGTGGACCTCCTCCTCCTCCCCCTGCTCCCCTTCCCCCTCCTCCTCCTCCTCCTCCTCCGCCTCCTCCTCCTCCTCCTCCTCCTCCTCCCTCCTCCTCCTCCTCCTCCCCACCTCCCCTCCTCCTCCTCCTCCTCATCATCCTCCTCCTCCCCCTCCTCCTCGTCATCATCATCATCATCATCATCATCATCATCATCGTCATCATCATCACGCCTGCAATCAACTCCGCCCGCGCTGCCTCGGCGTCAGGTAGATTCTTGCTTTCGCGCTCGGTGACGACATCGGTGAGCCCTTCTTCGGGCGCGCCGCCCGTGCCAGCGCCGCCGTAGTTCGCTTGCGAACTGCGGACGGACTTCCATATTCGTTGGCTCCTTCTCTTGGGGTCGTCTTCTGGTCCCTGCGTTCGTTTGCGAGGTTGTCCTGTTGGACGCTCCGCCCAGTCGTCTCCGTTCTCGGCCCTGTCGCGGCGCCTTTGCTCTGGCACGCCCCTCGTGCAGATCGCGCCCGTCGGGTAGACCCTCCACAAGGATGTTCAGCATTAAAGTTGTGCACATGAGGCTGCGAAGAGTTGGGCTCGTTGCCAGGATGCGTCCGTGGAATTGCTCCACCAGCCCTCCCGTCGCTTCGGGGCTGTCGTAGTTCGACGGGCCCCATGCGGAGCAAGTCTAGAGTCCATTACGGTCGGACCGAGACGTAAGATCGAGGTCGATTCGGGGAGGGTTCCCTAATGTTCTTCGTGCTTGTTGGATTCTCTTGTGCATCCTGGGGGAGGGTACCCTCGAATTCTCTTCAGTTGGGGCTGGCGGAGGGTCTCCTGTTCTTGATGGATGGTCTGCTGTCCTAGGTCCGACCGTACGCATCCCGCGACGCCCTGGCCTCCTGGCCGCTGGGGCGCGCGGTCCCGCGGCGCGCCGCAGCATCCGTGATGTCCTGCGACGCCCCGCCCTGGCTTCCTCCTCCTCCTCCTCCTCCTCCTCTTCTTCCTCTTCCTCCTCTTCCTCCTCCTCCTGCTCCTCCTCCTCCCTCCTCCCTCTACTCTTCCTCCTCCTCCTCCTCCCTCCTCCTCTTCCTCTTCGCCTCTTCCTCCTCCTCCTCCTCCTCCTCCTCCTCCTCCTCCTCCTCCTCCATTCCTTTTTTCTTATAACTAACTTTTCCCTGTCGCACCCCGTGGCCACTTTTTACGGCGGTCCAAGCGTTTCGCTTGAGACTCCTTCCCCATTTATGACCCTCAAGCTTAAACGTTGACAACAGTTTCACAGATGGAGGGCGGGTGGTTTTCAAACTGTGGCTCTTGCCTCAGCGCCGCGCACATTAGTTTTAAACATTTGCAAGAGTTTCACGGGTTGAGGGCGGCTCCTCTTTCCAAATGTGTTTCTCGCCTCAGCGACGCGCACACTCGTGCTAAACAAGTTGCAAGAGCTTCACGGATCGAGGGCGGGCCGCTTTCAACATGTGGCTCTCGCGTTAGCGCGGCGCACATTCGAATTCAAACTATGCAAGGGTTTCACGGATTGAGGGCGAACGGTTTTCAAAATGTGGTTCTCGCCCTAGCGCGGCGCACAAAACATTGGCAAGAGTTTCTCACATTGAGGGCGGTTCCTTTTCAAACTGTGGCGCTCACCTTAGCGTGGCGCATATTCGTTTAACACAATTTCCAGAGCTTCACACATTGAGGGCGGTTCCTTTTCAAGCTGTGGCGCTCACCTTAGCGTGGCGCATATTCGTTTAAAACAATTGCAAGAGCTTCACGGATTGAGGGCGGTTCCTTTTCAAAATGTGGCTCTCGCATTAGCGTTGCGCACATTCGCACATTCGTTAACACAACAGCAAGAGTTTCACGGATTCGCAACAACGTGCCAGAAATGGCGTTTTGGAAGGATTCAGGACCATGCGGGTGCAACAGTTATGTTGGTTCGCGGTGTTGAAGTCACAGGAGTGGCGTTCTGGCACGATTCATGATCGTCAAGACGCAATAGTCAGGTTGATCCGTGGCATTGGAATCCGGAGAACAGGGTTTGGGCATGCATCAGGGTCTTCAAACGGTTGTCTTTCAACGAGGCAGTTCCATCAATGGAAATGAACCGTTGTAGGGGCCTATGAAGCGGGAACTTGGAGGGAAGGTTTACTCCAACATCGTTGATGACTCTTGGGTTTGCAGTGGTCCTCCTCCTCCTCCTCCCTCCTCTTACTCCCTCCTCCTCCCCCTCCTCATCCTCCTCCTTCTCCTCCATCCTCCCTCCCTCCTCTCTCTTCCCTCCTCCCTCCTCCTCCTCCTCCTCCTCCTCCTCCTCCTCCTCCTCCTCCTCCATTCCTTTTTTTCTTACACGTAACTTTTCCCTGTCGCATCCCGAGGCCACTTTTTAGGGCGGTCCAAGCGTTTCGCTCGAGAATCCCTCCCCATTTATGACCCTCAGGCTTAAACGTTGACAACGGTTTCGCAGATGGAGGGCTGGTGGTTTCCAAACTGTGGCTCTCGCCTCAGCGCCGCGCACATTAGTTTTAAACATTTGCAAGAGTTGCACGGGTTGAGGGCGGCTCCTCTTTCCAAATGTGTTTCTCGCCTCAGCGACGCGCACACTCGTGCTAAACAAGTTGCAAGAGCTTCACGGATCGAGGGCGGGCCGCTTTCAACATGTGGCTCTCGCGTTAGCGCGGCGCACATTCGAATTCAAATTATGCAAGGGTTTCACGGATTGAGGGCGAACGGTTTTCAAAATGTGGTTCTCGCCCTAGCGCGGCGCACAAAACATTGGCAAGAGCT